ACTTAGACAAAAATGTGATAAAACCAGAATAATTGATAGCATCTGTGCACGTGAGAAATGGGAAATTTCAAATATTCCCAGAGGGTTCATGGAAAGTTTGGGTTGAAAAATATGTTTCACCTTTCTCCTTTAATATTCTATTATTATCTTCTCGATATGTAGATAAGCTTTGTAGTTCTTTCAGATGCTGTCCTTGAAATTATCATACTGGATATAAAAACCTAAATAGTGGCTGGCATTAGAACCAATTTATTTCTGCAAGTGAGCCATCTCCTTTGAGGATCGAACAGCTTACGTGTATTATGGTGGGTGTAAAAGTCATGAAACAAAAGTTTAATCATGGATATAAATAAAATGTGTGTCAGCTATGACCACAGAGTTTTTCTAATATCTGTTCGCTGAGATAATGTTCTTTAAATGTTAAAATCACATTCACATCTTATTTACTGCATCCTGTACATGCAGCCAATCATGCTACGAGAATCACTGTGGAGACTTTAAAACGTAAAGAAAGAATTATGTGATAAAGAAAATACTTATTAATTCTATGGAAGGCATGCACATATGAAAGCCACAGAAATCTGTGTTATATGATTAATTAATTTCTTCATAGCCTTAAAATGTTTCTGATATTGCTAACAACATGTATACTGCAGGAGAAAATGCATTTAAATATTGATATTATCTCTAACAAGGAATAAAAACAGGTGCAGAGAAGGTGATGAGAAAAACATGTAAATGAAAAATTCAATACATCTTAACACGCACTGTTACCATGTAACTGTTAAATTAAATTAATCACATAAAATAATTAAGTCTAATAGGTAATATGGAACGAGCACCTAGTCACACAACTTAATAATATTCTAATTGTAATCAAACGTACTATGTAATCGGTGCTTATTGCATTAAAACACATATCACATGCCTGTTATCTCCTTTGTTTTATAAATTGGAACTTTAGTTCAACTCCTGCTTCTTAGTAAGGGTAAAGCCTCCGAAATGCTGCAGATGAACTGGCAGGAAGCCAAGGACTCTATGTAGATGAATTACAAAAGAGGTTTTGAACCAAAAAGAAAGGCTTATTCTCCAAAACACCTCAGGTTTAGTGCTATTACAGTAAATGTGTTTGGTATCAAATTGCAAATGTCTTGATAATTTTCCACTCATTATTAGCAATATTATAAGACTGCAGATGTTTGAATCAGGCAGTAAAGACTATTCTAAATTTTTGTGTGTGACATTGTGTTATGTCTTTATGATTTTTGTAGTTTCTATACTGCTTTGATTTAAAGGAATAAAAAAGAAATTAAGATAAGCAATTATGTTACTTTCTACTTAAGGGTAAAGTCTTCTTTCACTAACATATTTATACAACTTTTAAGTGAGTTTTACAGTATTATACTTTTCTACTATAAATATTTCTTACTTGGCTCAATTTTTAAAAATTATACTTAGTACCTAGAAGGCAATAACTTCAAATATATATAATAGAGAAGTTCAGCAAATATATGGGTAAATTAATATCATACTAAAGCTCGATTGTATTCTTAAATGTAGTATTAGGATGGAATAGTGAGCTCGATTCCCAACATAATTTAGTATTTTCCTGGAATTCATTAGTAAATTTACTTGTAAAAAACAGAGAATCCTAATTAACATATATGAAGAAATAATATAGGAATCTAGATTAATCAAAGAGGAAGCTAGACTTCCAGAGACTCACAAGTAATTCATAATGGACATTTAAAAGATATACATCATTGGGCTAATTAACATATATGAAGAAATAATATAGGAATCTAGATTAATCAAAGAGGGAGCTAGACTTCCAGAGACTCACAAGCAATTCATAATGGATATTTAAAAGATATACATCATTGGGGGAAAACAAGAAAAGACAGCTTAAATAGAGCATTCATATGTAGGTTAGATCCACAAGAGAACTCCTTCCATTTGGAGATTTAAAAAATAAAGAGAAGAAATATGTGAATGGAATAGATGATTAAATTTTAAGAATGTATTTATCAATATTAAAATATAAAACATTTTATTTTGCTTTACTGAAATTCAGTCTACATTAGTAGAACTAACCTTTGTAGGCAAAGGGCACTATAAAAAGCTCTGAACATCTACCTGTAAACCTTAGCTAAAGCTATCCTACCCTATCTTGCAATTCAAAATTTGAAATGATTTGCAAATGCAGAACTTAATACGCTTTCTAGGAATATTAAAGTTGGTGCAAAGATACAAATGTCAAATCAAATAAAATTGACTCTACAGAAGATTGATACACTGAAGGAAAAAAAGAAACTCAACTTCTATTAGGACTTTGCTGTATAAACAATCTTTTGATAAGCATCGTGGTGATTTAGTTGAAGGCATATGATTCTAAAAAATAAAAATTAAATTAAAAAAATAAAGGGAAGATATAAATGAAAAACTGCTGAAAATCGAAACTAAGACAATTATGTTCTTGTCTCCAGGAACTAGAGACATAAAATATTTTTATGGTTTAAAGTTGCATTAAAAATAGAATATATATGCATGTATATAATATATATGTATATATTTGATATATGAGATATATATGTTTCCACATTGGCACTGTAACCTGTGATAGTCTGTCTCCACTACTGGTAATAGCTAAAATATCTAGAAATAATACACAACAACAGAAATAAAAACAGTAACAAAAAACTACCTAAGGCTTCCATAGAGTAAACAAAACCTTGTGGCAGAGAAATGAAAGCTAGTCTCCCACTTTTTCTCCTTTCTCCATGGGGCAGACTCTACTTGAAGAGCTCCTAAGCGACTCTGGAGCTAAAATTTGTCCATAAGAATAGAGGTAGCTTGGAAAGAAGCCGATACAGGTTGAACAGTGTGGAGGGAATTCCAGAGAGGAGTCAGAGAAGGAGGTGCCATGACCCTGTGTATAAAACCGAAGAAGTCTCGGTCTAAGCTGTGATTTTTGAATGCCTCTGACAGATACAAACTTGCACAGCAAGGAGTCAACTGAGATTTGAATTCACTGCTCATAGGAGACAACACAGAACGTAGGGATGATTAAAAACACTTCTGCCTGGTTGGCGTGGCCCAGTGGTTGAGCCTATGATCCAGAAGATCATGGTTCGATTCCTGATCAGGGCACATGCCCGGGTTTCAGGCTCGATCCCCAGTAGGAGGCGTGCAGGAGGCAGCCCATCAATGACTCTCTCATCATTGATGTTCCTCTCTCTCTCTCCCTCTCACTTCCTCTCTCTGAAATCAATGGAGATATATTTAAAAAAACAAAACAAAACACTTTTTCCAGATGGTTGTCAAATTACCCAGAGTCTGCACAACATAATATTTACAGTACTCAGAACAGAATGCAGCAATTCTTGCTATTTAATGAGGCAGGAGAACATGACCAATTCTAATGGGAAAGGATAACCAACCTGTGAACATCGCAAGATGGCACTAATATGCCATCTTAACAGAGTGAGGAATCTCAGAGGGAAAGAGGGGTGAGGGGGTGGGAGGTAGGGGGTTAGGGTTGGGCGAAAGAGATTAACCAAAGAACATATATGCATTTATGCATAGCCCATGGACACAGACAGTAATAGTGTGGTGAAGGCCTGGGGTGGAGTGTGTGTGTGGGGGGGTGCAAGGTAGAGGGGGGCAATGGAGGAAAAAAGGTGACATCTCTAATACTTTCAATAATAAAGATAAAAAGAAAATATTAAAAAATTATAAACAATGAAAAAAGTAGATCTAAAATTTACAGAAAAAATGGAAATAATAAAAATAAAGCCAAAGTCAACAAACTAGAAAACAGATATATATATAACAGAAAAATATAAATCAGTAAAGCCAAAAAAACAATGTTTTTTAAAGAATATTAATAAACCCTTAGCTAGAAAAGTCTTTTCAATAAGTCGTGCTGAATGCTTTGTGTATATATATATGGAAAGATAATACATACTATCTCCACAAAAATGCACTCAAAGTGTATCATTAACCTTATTGTAAAATCCAAATCAACAAAACATTAAAAAGAAAGCTTAGACATAAATTGTTTAATTGGCCTTTCCATTAATTTCTTGACAAGCACAGTTTGCAAATATGTAAAATAATATGGATTATTTGTGTCTGTTCTTGAGTTGCTTTCTAGAGTTCTCAGTTAGAAGATGCATCTTGTTTCACAATTACTATCATATTCTATTAATATTAATGTGATAGAAATTATCCAATAGATTTGTCAACAGGCGTATCTTATACATTCCCACTAAGTCAGCTATGTCCTTTCAAGTATCAGAGAACTTCTAATGATGATTCCTGAATATTTATTGAAAATAACTAAATTTCTTCCTTCACCAAATTATTCTAATAATCATATGCAATGACTTAAGGTAGATAGTGTAGGTTCCATTTACATTAGCTTTCACATTTCCCAAATCTAACAGTTATACTTTTAAAATAATTATTTAGTAACTCTCTTTGTCACAGGCCCCACTTTCAGATAATAGACACTATTTTGATTAAAATATAAGTACTGATATATTTAACCAATTCAAAATACTACATCATATCTTATGAGCATGTAAAATAATTCAACAAAACAGATTAAATAAGAAACAAAAACCCTGGCTACCTATGTGAGCCACAGGATCATTAATATTATAATAAATAGATAGCAACCTAAGAAGATGCTGAGCAATCACTGATAACTAATAAGAATAACTAATAATATAGCTCAGTTGGTATGTGTTCCGGGTTCAGCGTTAACAATTTTCAGGGTAAGCAGTGTCAAGTCATCGCATATAAACAGCACTGTTCAGTGTCCCAAAACACCCACTAGATGTCCCCAATAACTGGCTTTGAGAGGCCGTTCTTTCTGAAGCTATGCATTAAATACTGAAACACGGACCACACAGGTATTTTGATCTTCCTACAGCTATTCATATTTTTCAAAGCAGAGAGAGTTCCAGTAAGCATACGAAAGGAAAATAACTTACATTCGATGTCAAGGTACATGCTCTTTTGGTGCCCTCCAATTCTGCTCGCAGCTTCACAGTCGTATCTCCCCGAATCTGACAACTTCACGTCTTTAATGTGCAGGGATGAGCTTCCATGCTGCCCTTTGACTTCGATACGGCCGTCCGGGCTCTGTTTACATCGAGTCAGGAGAAAGAGAGATTTTATGCTTCTTTTGTGTAAAATGATGACCAAATACACGGTGTTTATGATACGCACAGTATATAAAATAAACTTTTACCTGCATTAACATTTTCTTAAAAAAAACGCAGCGTTTCTGTATTTCTGATTTAGGATTTCTAGCTTATGCATTTTGCCCGTCCAATTTGCTTACAGGGACACTGGCACGTAGTAAAGACTTAAACACAATTTTTAGTGACCTCTTTCATTTAGTATGCTCTTTGCTTATTAAAAAGCGTGCATGTTCTCCCAGGAAGGGGTTTGTTGGCTTCCAATTAATGTTCTTTGCAAACATAACAAAACAACAGTGCCCTTCATTTCTGCCTAAAGCCTACCCATGAAAATGATATGCCTGCAGCACTTTCATTTCATATCCACCAGGTAAGAAAACACATCGAGATTTATGAAAATTAAAGCCTTAAGGAACTTACGGTTTTCGCTTTTGAATACATGAAACAGTACTGCTCATAAGCATAATGAACACCAGATGCATCAAAGACAAATTATTAAAACACAGCTCTATCAAACTCACTTTTAGGAATTCAATGGAAACAATAGAAGATGATTAATTACTCCGTGAGTATTGACTCAAGTAAAGGAACTGCTTATAATCCAGTACTCTATAGATTATATTTCAAATAAGAATTCTTGCATGCAGCAAAAGTCAGCATACCTAGAATTTTCTTAAATCACTTGAATACACTGATAGCACACATAATAAAAAAGAGACAGTTTATTTATTGAATTTTACTTCATAGCACCACAAAATATATTGAACTTTTAGCATTTTATAATTTATTTGAAATGTACTTTACTATTATTGAATCAATTCTTCTCACTATTTGAGGTACTTGTGGCTCATAAAATATATATGTTATTAGGTAACAATAGCTGTTTAATTTTCTACATGACTGAAGTTAAATTAAATTTTAATACATTTGTGTACTTCGTATTATTAAAATTTAGCATTTAATCCCTTTTCTTTATTAATATCAAAAGGCTGCTTTAAAGCTCTTTCTCAAACATAAAGTTGGTTGGGGCACAGTAGGATTCCTTTCTTGCTTTTTAATTTTATACAGGCATGCGATTACTATATGATCATAGCAGCCACTCAATTTATTTGCCATCAGAAAAAATCTTCGGAAACAGACTAGGGGTGCATCATGCAACTCAGATAAGGATTTCCAGACCATAAGTCCCCCACTCCCAAGCATCGCTAAGAAAATATTAAGGTGAGCTTTCCAAGCAGAAGGGCATTCTCTCCTGCGAATTTTAAACGCGTTCAATCGCCAAGTCCATTTACTTAATTGAGGCAGTAGGAAAAAGAAAGCCAGAATTCACACAAGTTCAGCTCGGGATGAATTCGTCCAAGAGCAGCTGGCCAGCGTGTTGCACAGGGAACTAAGTCCCACCGACGGCTGGGGCGTGGCCCTGGCCCTGGCCCTGGCCCCGCTGCGCCTCTGCCCAGCCCTGGGCCCCACCGACCCCCTTCCTTGCTGTCGCTCACTGCCCTCGCTCTCAGAAGACCACCCCGGCTTTCTCCTTCACCCCTCTGACGACCCCTTGCTCTGGCTGCAGCCCCCCCANTGCCCTCGCTCTCAGAAGCCCACCCCGGCTTTCTCCTTCAGCCCTCTGACGACCCCTTGCTCTGGCCGCAGCCCCCCCGTCCCTGAAGCCCCTGTGTTCTGTCCTGGACTCTGCTCTCCTTTCCCTGAACACGCTCTGCTCTGCTCAGTGCACGTCCACGCGGGTGACCTTCAGCCGCTGTCGAGCCAGCATCTCTCTTTCCCTGCAGCTTCAGGACCAGGTGTCTCACTTGCAAGGCCCGTCCCTTTGACCCATCTCAGGCGGCACGTGCAGGCCTGAACCATCGCCCCCTCCCCGGCATCACCTGCTCTCCCCACATGGTCTGTCTTTCCCCGAATGGCACTGATCGTTTGCCATGCCCCATGCTACGCCTGTTAGTCGGGTTAGTTCCGGAATCTTCATCAATTTGTATTCCAAATGACGAGAAGCCACAGTTTATCATCCTGTCCTACATCATCATTTCCCGTTTCCAGCAGTTGTGTTTTGTAGACCTGCCTGTTCTTCGCTTTTCCCATTTCCAGTCTCAGGGGCGCCGCTGAGTTGAAAGGATACTGACAGGCCTCTCGGCATTGCAGAGAACAGTCCCCCCGGGGCTGAATGGGACCGAAAAAGGCTCCCTGACTCTGCAGAAGTCATCAACATGAAGCTATTTGCTGTGTTTCTCTAGCAAAAAAATCATTCCAGCTGCAGAAATTATTTCTTGTGCAGCTAAGAATGTTTTTTAAAAGCAAACTTTTAATTCTCATAACAACTTTATGAAGGTTTCACATCCCCTGTGTTGTATAATCATAAATAATATTGTATTTTCTTCCAAATAAAACTCCTATCCCTCAGCCCCACGTTTAAGGACTTCCATATGGCATCAATTTTCTGTCTAAGCAAGCTTTAGAATCTGGATTCCAATTAGCTTTAATTGCTTGTCCTGTCATGAATATCCATAAGCACCCTTCTTTTAAGACCTATCTTAAACCAATCCCCCTTTATCACTTCCACATTTAAACAGCAGGAGTCTATAATCATTCTTTTAATTTTTTGGCCAAATATTAATTTATATTCAAAATAGTTTCTGGCTATGTTATATAATTATTATATATTTTATGTTATTTATTCTATATTATACTTACANATTTAAACAGCAGGAGTCTATAATCATTCTTTTAATTTTTTGGCCAAATAATAATTTATATTCAAAATAGTTTCTGGCTGACTATGTTATATAATTATTATGTATTTTATGTTATTTATTCTATATTATACTTACAATATATAATTATCCATTATTTATAATTACTATTTTGAGTTTCGTGCTTTTCTTGGGACACATTGTATTTTCTAGTTTTGTTGAAAANAATATATAATTATCCGTTATTTATAATTACTATTTTGAGTTTCATGCTTTTCTTGGGACACATTGTATTTTCTAGTTTTGTTGAAAGTTCACCTGTAGGGTGATCTTATAGTTGAATAAATATGAGAGCATTTTTGTGGTACTTGATGTCAAAGTCACTTGGACTAGTGCCAAGCAGAAAAGTATTATATTCTAATATTGTTATAAAGTAAATTAAATTACAGTGAAATTTACATATAGTTTGATAAAAGAAAATGGAATCCTTAAGCTATTATTTAATATGAGTTAAAAATTTGAATTTATTATCGTTATTAGAATGTGACAAAATACCTTATTAAAAGCAAATTCTTCATTTTTCCACTCAGAAATAATATTGTTCTTTTGCAGTATTGAAATGCAAATTTGCCTCCCTTGAAAACTACACAGGTCCTCTTGCTGTTGTAAATGACAGGTTTTTAACTTATGAAAAACGATCTGTGTATATAAAACTAGCATTCTATTAGTAAAAGTGTAGGTAGTTAAAGGTTATTATTAATGAACCTAAAATTATTAAAAGAAACTCTAGCAGAACAGAATTTCTTTGGGAAGATGTGTGATTCCCTGTGTAATTATAAGTCATTTTCAGACACGGCATTGGCTCTATAATAATGCACAATATGCATTAGTCTCAAATACTTCCACTGAAAGACCAAAGTCATCCCTTCTCATAGCTGACATTCCAAAGGACATCTCTCCTTGTGCTATAAAAATGCGCTGCACATTTCTGAAAGAAAATTCATTTGTATCTTGGCTTTGATTCACCACCTACTGAAGATTCATTTAAGATGCCTGATATTTGATTGAGACAGGTTAATAGACATATTAGCTGTCCATCTAGTATTTTCAGGTTCTAGCTCTGCATTAAGTCAGATGATTAAAAAGTAAAGTGTCTGACTATATGTTATTATTCCAATCCTCACAGAAAGGCACTCTCTGACATTTGATTGGAGCTATATTCTTTGCTTTTCCAGAAGATTCATTTAAGACCAGCCTATATGAACAGTATTTTGATATTTTTATAAAATGATTATTTATAGGTTACTGTCCTTTCAATAATCCATTAATCAAATAACTATGTGATAACTACCTTTTTCCAGCTTAGTCCAGTGGGAATATTTTATTGTCCATTTGAATTGTCAGACATTTAAAATTATATAATTATCATGTTTATAGGTTATTTTTGTGACCTTACCTGCCTAGGGATGTATTGCCAAATTTCAAATCCAATTGTACTACACAACAGCACATCTGAAGTGGTTATCCCCTGTCATTCTTTTTCCTTAAGCTAATGTCTTTGAGTCTTTTTGAAGTCATTGACCCCCTATGGCCTTTTGAGAGAACTGTGGGTCATGTCACTTAGTTACTCAACCTTTTTTGTGTAATTATTCCACAATGAGCATTCAGGCACTGGGGATACATGCTGAGCAAAGCAGAATAACTTCTACCCTAGTGGAATTAAAGTTTAACAGAGAAGACAGATATTAGTTTTAAAAGATAATACAAATAAACTGAAAAGTATCCTGTAAGAACAACACAGGTTCATTATGGAGGTAAGTGAAGGCGTGAGTCATAGGTATGCTCCCTGGTAAACTGAAGTTTGGACTGAGATTTGAAAATGGTGAAAGAGGGGTGGTGTTATAGAGAATTCCAGGCAAATGTCCTCAGAAGACACATGAAAGAACTGAGGGAAGCCCGTAGGTGCATAGAGGAGAGGGCCTGGGGGATCTCCTGATGTTGGGCGGGTAAACAGAGAATTCTTGCAGAACCCAAGACAAATGCAGACACACACACAAGATTGCATCCCTGCTTTATATATTCTGTGTGCCTTTTCATAATGGCATTAAATCTGTACTGGATGTAAATTAAACTCAACTTAAATACTTAAAGGTGGCATTGAGGCATAACTGCTAAATATGTAAACAAGAAAACAGATGTTCTCTAAAGGTTATTGGCATTAATTTACTCAAACAACTTCTCA